ATGCTCTTGTTCCTTGGGTGTGTGTGTGTGGTGAGCTACCAGATACACACAGATCACATGATGGAAATGTTTTTTGTTTTACTTCTGCAGGTTTTGTCCTTGCTAGTGATTAGAAAGTGATTGGAAAATGTGTGTTATCTACTTGAATTGCCGAAAAGTACTGAAATGGTTCATGCTTCTGTCATTGTTGTATTGCTGTTATCGTCTCCCATGGTGTAATAACTTCTCGCCTGAATAAATATCATATCCAGTGCCATATAATTAAGATCATCTTCTAAATGAATCAGCCACAGCCAACCTGTACCTGTTTTCCCCACCTTGATAGACAGTATAACGACTGAGATGTGTGTTTTAATGTTCAGTATCATGTTGTTTTAATTGAGTCTGATGCTCTGCTGCTACAGCAGCTGTGGGTAACAATTACATACCGGTTTACTTCAACAAGTCACATGTATTGACACTCTATTCAGTCACACTCGATAGCAATGTCATAGATGTTACATGCAGCTCAACTGTTTGTTTGTCTCGTCACACCATGCCCACTATTACACTACTATTGACACACAGACACATCATTTGTATGGTAATTTCCTTCCAACAGGTTTGAAAATACATCTGACAACAGAACATGTATGTTATGAGCTTTATGAGCTTGACTAAATTGATATTTACTGCATTGTAAGAACCTCATTCTGTTTTGTCTGCCCCAAAGAATATAATTAAAGGTGTTTTTTAGCAGACAAATGCAGATAATTAAACCATTACAGTGACCAGACGCAGCGTATGTAAGAAATAATACTCTAGTCTAGTAAGTAATTATTTAACAAAAAGGGCGATTTCATAGAGTTAAACATAGACATTAAAAGTCACTTTCCAAATTAGAAATGAATGTTCCTGAATCATTAGAGGCCCATACATGCTGGTGGCTACTCATCTTTGTATCCAGACTGAACGTTGTATGGGTGAAAAACAAAACCAAGCCACTGTGAAGATTAAATTATCAGGGATGCTGAAGTTGTTGCAGTCACTTCATTTCCGTATATTTGTCCATATGAACTACTAATCAGCCGCGTCAACACCAGCACTTCAAAGAAGAGCAGACCCCAAGTAGACTGAGGGATGAGTGTAGCTCCAGTCAGTCTGTTTGCTCCATCAGCCACCTTTGAAGATGCACCGACCATCATTTGAATGTCCTAATGTAATATACAAACCTGGTTAGTTAAAGGAGCTGTTGACGTGTGGGCTGCAGGAATTAGGTTTCCTGTTTGCACACAGGGCCTCTTGTGAGCAGGAGGCTCTGACTTTATGTACAGAAAGTTAAGATGGCTTAGATATTAAGCTAATTAGGTGGCAATAATTCATGAATACCGCTGAATTGAGAGAGTTGGTTGAATATTATTTATAAAAACACCATTTTATTTGACTGATCTTATTCACGTTAAACTAAACCTCAAACCCGCGATAGATGCAACATTCATTGTCCCGACATCTTTAACTGTCGTTATCTTTGCTATTTTCATGTATTTTTCTCCTGTATTTCTGCTATTTCTTACCAGGGAAGGTACAGTAGTTAGTCCAGTCGGTGTGACGTCACATGAATGCAGATTATTTTGATCTGTTCGTGGAGTTCCTGATGTCTTACGAATGTCAGCAATAACTGTATGAAGTGTCATCCCGTTGGCCAGCTTCTTTATATGACGGTTGCTTGTGATTAAACATTGACACGGTTCTGTGGAAGATCACTAAGCAGTTAAGCAATATAATATTCCCTGGCTGACACTTTAATTAAAGCGGATGAATGATGCCCATGGCTGAGGGTTTTGTGTTTAGTTCCAGAAGTGTAGTCTGGAGATCTGACTTGCTTCTTAAAAAGCTATTTGGATATTAAATATGTAAAAAAAGCACCTGCTGAATATTGGGGAATTTGATCAACCCTAGTACCTGGTAAACAAAAGATATTTACATGTCACGGTTTGTCAGATAAGCAACCGGTCCTGTACAGAGCTGCAGCTAACGGTTGCTTCACCAGGGCCGTAATCAGGATTCAGGACCCATAGTGAGCGTAATTCTGTCAGATCGAGTGTCAAGAATCTCAAAATATATCAACTATAATGATGCATAACTATCTGCTTGAGGAGGCAGAGTGAGAGTAGTTAGAGTAACTGTGAATGATCAGGAACAAAAGTAAACAAGTGTTTGCTCTCGGTGTTAACGAGTGTTACACCCGAGGCCAAATAGAACAACAAACATCTCGTAGACTCGTGTAAATCCAGCGGTTCTCATAAAATATGACGAGATCAAAAGCTTTAATCAACAATACTAATGTATATAGACAAACCAGAGGTTATGTTTTTATCGATGCGTTTCCCTCTCTGTGGAGACGAGGGCAACAACGTGGAATCTGTGCTCTGTGAGGCGCTTGTTATTGATCAAGTGTATCTACATTAAAATGGTGTAATGCAGCACAAGGCCA